ATAGAGTTGCTATGAAGTTTTGATGTTTTGGTGAATATGTGTATATATAAATAGACTAAGACAGTGTCACATACAACGTGTAGCATAAGTTAGTGTTATGTGTTGAATCGTATTCCCCTAAAAGATATATTTAAGTTCTAACTTCTGGAATCTATGCATGTGACTTTTTTTTTTTTAAACATAGTAGGGTGTTTGCAGATGTACTCAGGTTAAGATGAGGTCATACTGGATTAGGTTGTGCCCTATTCCTGTATGACTAATGTACTTAAGAGAAAAGAAAGATTTAGACAGAAACACAAAGGAAGATGGTCATGGAAAAAGAAGGCAGAGATAGGCACTGTGCTGACATAAACCACAGAATACTTGAAACTACCAGAAATGGAAAAAGGCAAGGAAAAAAATGTCACTGGAGGCTTTTGGAAGACTTTAAACTTCTGGCCTTTGGTGCTATGAGGAATATACTTCTGCTCTTTAAAGCCACCTAGCTTTTAGTACCATGTTATGGCAATCCTAAAAACAAGTTCAGTCAGTAAGGACATTTAGTCATTATTGGACATTAATAAATATCAATTATAATAGTTGAGCTTTGATCATTTAAAATGTTTGATGTTTGAGAGAAGAGTTGATTTTCAATGTGTCTGTAAAGCATTCTAAAATAACTACAGACAGTAACTGAGATTAAAGCTGGAAATTCATTGATGGGGAGACTGTTCTAGGTGGTACTCAATACTTACTCCCTTTAGTACCTGGTTAGGGAGCCTTTCAATAGGTCCCTACACTTCAGAGGACTCTGCTCTGGCCCACCTCATAGTGTGCGCAGCCTTTCTTTCAGAATGGTCCTCTGGCACCCAAATGCAGAGTTGTCTGTCTAAATAGGCAGCATCCTCCTCAGGCCTGAGGGCTATACAAGGGGTGATGTTTGTTGGGTGGTGAGGGGTGCAGAGAAAGCTGAGACATGCCAGATAGGCTTTCCTGAGTCCACACTCAAGAGCTCCCACAGTGGGAAGGAGGTAAAAGAAGAGGGTGGCCCTAGGTAGAAGGCCAGGGTTTAAGTCTCCCTTAGTCACCATGTTCTGGAAGAGAACTGGCTTTTGAAAGTGAACATTCTAAATTTACTCTGACTTATTCAGGTATATTTATCATGGTAGAACAGACTGGATTTTATCAGTTTGTAAGCTTTACTCATAAAATTTACACTGCTGTCAAATATTCTTGTATCAGGCCCCAGGAATGTTAAAGAAAATTTGTTGGTATCATTGAAATTTAATCACTCATTACCTACTGTGCCTTTTTAAAATGTATGAAGCTACTTCTCTATAAAAATTCAATACATTAAAAAACCAGACTGCCATTTCAGGTTTAATTGTCAAAAGGGGAGTAATTATAATGGAAGATACTGGGATAAAATACAATGTGACATTTATTACAGATCAGAAGGGTATACTTGTCAGTCATCAGGAAATTAATAAAACCAGAACTAGATGCTCTATAAAGCACAACATGCCAATTAGTACCAATTCAAATATCCACATATTAAGTAGATCTACCATGTGATCTACGTTTCTCACTTCTAGTGATATTTTGAAAGGAAATAAAATCAGTATATCAAAGAGATATCTGTACTCCCATGTTTATTACCTCATTGTTCACAATAACCAAAATGTGGAATCAACTTAGGTGTCCGTTAATGGACACTTGTGGTGTGGGGGGAGGGACTGGGAGGATAGAGGAAAGCTGGATAATGCTATCAAAATATAGATAGAAAGAATAAGTTCTAGTGTTCAATAGCACAGTAAGGTGACTACAGTTCACAATAACCTAGCTTATATTTTATGCAAAAATAGAAGAGAAGAGCTCACAGACTCCAAACATAAAGAAATGACAATGAGATGGGACTGCCTCTAATTTTATCATATGAACTGTATACACATATTGAAATGTAACACTGTACCTCAAATATTTATAAGTATATGTTAATTAAAAAGAAATAGACCAAATACCAGTAGCTCATGCCTGTCAATATTAGGTAGTTGGGAGGTGGGTTTGGAGGATCATGCTTCAAGGCCAGCCTAGGCAAAAAGTTAGGAGACCTCATCTCAACCAATCACTCTTGCCTGTCATCCTAAGCTACACAGGCTGAGATCAGGAGGATCACAGTTTTAAGCCAGTTGTGAGGGAGGTGGGGAAGAATACTTTGTGGTATCCTCAGAGGCTATCTCCAAAATAATCAGATCAGCTGAGTACAGCGGCTCATGTCTCTAATCCTAGTTAATCAGGAGGTGGAGATCAGCAGGACTGCAGTTCTAGGCAAGCCCAGACAAAATTTGATAGCCATCTCAACCAAAAAAAGCTGGAAGTGGTGGTATACACCTATGACCTCAACTATACAGGAGGATTTCAGTCTATAGCCAGCCCAGGCATTAAACAAAACCCCACTTTCAAAATACCTAAAGCAAAAAGAGACAGAGGGAGTGACTCAAGTGGTAGAGCACCTGACTATCAAGTGCTAGGTTCTGAGTTCAAATCCAAGTAACTTAAAAAAAATCCTACAGTTAGAAAGGAGCTTTTCAATTAAATGAACCAAAACATATCAAGAACGACTGGTGAAATTAGTGACAGCACATGAATTATTTGTGAGAAGATAATTTCAGAGCTCTTGACAATTAAGACTGGGCTTGAACTATGACTCCAGGAGCTATGGAACAGAAAAGGAGCAATTAGAGCCCCAACAGGTAGATTTCTGAGTTAGGAATTTCTTTCTGTGGTGACCCTCCCCACACTCAGTTCCCCTTCTGCTGCAGACAAGCTGCAGTCAGCTGAGGGCTGTGCGGATATGGAGAACATGTCCCTGTGAGGCTCCTCCAGGGTGGCCAATGCTGGATCAGGCCATTCCAATTTACTATCCACACCCTTCCTTACCCATTCTAAATGTCAAACAAGGAAAATATGCTAGGAGATTGCAGGAAGATGAAATTATGGAGGAATTAAACACTAGTCAGATAATTATCCAAGTTAGAGCCTCCATCTTGTTTTTATAGCTGCAATATTTGAAAAGTTTAATAGAGTGACAGGGATAAGTTTTTAAAGGCACTGTGGAATGTAATCTAAAGTATGGGATTTGGAATCCTATAGACCAATGAATCTAATTCCAGTGCTAAATTTTACTATGTGATTTAAGTATGTTACTTAAATTCTCCAAGTCTCAGTTTCCTCATGTATAAAATATACCTGTTTCACAGCATTGCTGTGAAGAGTAAAATAAATAATGTTTTAAATTATTTGAGCTGGTAAATGTTAGGGTTTTTATTGTAATTTTATATCTAGAGAGACTGTTATACGGTATGCTTACACATCACAAAACTCATGTATCTAAGTAGACAAAAATCAGTAGGTATCATATACTGACTGCAAAGTTTCATTTTTGCATATTTTATTTAATTTCTAAAGATCAAGTTAATTCCTTTTTATTTTATATAATTATCAGTTTCTGTAGCATTGGTTTAGGAAGAATTCAGAGGTGATATATAAATTGTCTTATATTTCTGAATTCTTTCCTAAGTAATTGTATTTTCCAGCGACTAAACTCCAATTCAGGAGAAAATAACTTTATTATTTATTCCAGACCAATATAAAATGAAAAAAATTATAACTGGGTGGCAATTCAGTTATTATATAACAACAGATTTCAAAAACACAGACATTATACAGCAATCATTTGGTTAAAATATGCCTTTCTAATAAATGCTCTCCATTATGGCTGAAACACAAACCTTCATTAAAGCCACTGGTTACATTTGTAGTAGAAAGCAAAGAAAAAAGAAAGTCAATAATTTTCTGATAAAAACTTAGGCATTTTATTAGGGAACTCTCACTTTTCATGTTTCTTCTCTCTGATTCTACTGTGTCTTATGACCTTTGCCCCTCCCAGTGTTGCTGTATATAGCTGTCCAAGTTATGTATTACACAACTCCAGGAGGGTACATTTATTTACACAACCATGAAGCACCCTTTAGCCGTGTGATATTCACAACCTGCAAAACTGTATGTGGTATCCCTGGATCCCTACTTCCATTCCAAAATGGATTACTTGTATTTTAAAAACAATTGCATGTTCTTGGCTCTGAATTAAATAAACAAATTTCAAGTGTGACCTGAAATTAGTCTACAGCTAATCTGGAGGGTTCTTGATAGATTAAAACCTCTAGAAATTAAAAAGGAAGAGTCACAGGTATGTGTAATATGAGACTTTAATCATGCAACAATCATTTCTGACTTTGATTAATGTGTGATGACAGTAGAAGTGGGATTCTGACTATAACTTATTTTATACAGCCCACTCTTGGGTGATCTCATAAGATCATAGAAACAAGTAGTAGAAAATACAGCAGATTCTGGAAAGAAGGAAGAGAATGATAAACCAAAGAAAACTAAGATTTAAAAGTAGTCTTAGTTGTGAATATTGTACAGGTGACTTTTAGTTTTCCCACCATAAGGTGATGTGGGTATTAAGGGCAGCCCTGGCTTACACTCAGAGCTCTGTCTTGGAGTCTGACATCTAGTCATAAGGGAGCTCAGTTGTGAGCTTTAGTTTCTTCTGTCTGTCTGCCAATGACATTTAAAACATCTGTCTCACAAACTCGACCTGGAATAGTAGATGTTCATCTGTTCTTTGTAGTCAACTTGCAGAGCTTTGCTGTTCTTACTGCAATACAGCTCTGCTTCAAGTTTGCATTTCTAACCCCAGATGGAATTCTGACTCTGAGACTGGAATAGGAACAGAAGCCAGAATTGAAATTCATGCATTTCTGCAGTTGAATATTTTCTTTGTCTTCAGGAGTTCAATTTAATCCCAGGTGCATCAAATTAGTTATATGTTCAATACAGCTTCACGGTAGGTCCTCCCCAAGTATGAATGAATGTATGTTGAGTAAACATCTCCAAAAGATCCCATTCAAATGTAAATATAAAAGAATGCTCAATACAGCTGTGGTCTGTCTTACCATTAGCCTTGTGCTGTACATCTGGCGGAAGCTGGTCAAGAGCATACCACTGATAATCTGGCTGTGTGGAACAATGAAACATTATTATAGCAATATGGACTTCAAACAGAACATAGTAGCATATTAAAAATATAATTATGCCCTGTGGCTTTTATTTAGCAGGCCACACAAAAGGCATTTCTATTCAACCTGCTGCCAGTTTCCCTCATCCCACATATCTCCCTCTTCACTAACACCATCTTGCCCTATCGCCTTCTAAATTCATTCTGTGCTTGACTAGAGTTTCTATGACTTTGGCATTGTAGTATGTATTTTTTTTTCCTTTTCTTTTTTTGGAAACAGATGTGTTTTGGATCTCTGCAGAAGTATAAACACTTTTGTAAAACTTATTATATTCTATAAATAAAGCAAAGCAATTTACTATCAATAAATGCTCTCTTGAAAACTGTCACACTATAGGCAATGAGAAGACCAGAAAGGAAATATAAATTTAATGTTTTCTGGTAGATCAAGCAAGAAATCTAAGCTATTGTGGGTATATGGCACACAGAAGTTTGCTGTTCCTCTGCAAAAGTTATTCTCTAAATTGCTCAGAGTTCAGACAAAAGCGATGGGATTTTTCTTTTGGAATTTTGTTTTAAGAAAGATAGATACTGGATAAAAGAGACTGGTGAAGGGGTGAATTCAAGTATGATATATTTGATATACTGTAAGAACTTTTATAAATGCCACAATGTACCTCCACCCAGCATAACAATTAAAAAACAAAAGAAAGAAAGGTATTGAATATCAGGGAACACATCAAAAAAATTGCACTGAATAAATAAGAAGCTATAGACCCGAATTACCAAGTTAGTTCCAAAAATTACCATTTTAGTATTTAACCCCTTGGAATTAAGTGATCTCAATCAGCTTTACCTGCCCTCAGAGTAAATCTATCTTCCTGCTCCAGACACTCACCCTGTCTCCTACTTCCCCACAAGACACAGAGAATGCACTTCAATTATTTAATTATCTTCTAAAAATAAATCAAGAAAATTCCTCTATCAGTTAGGCAATAGGGAGCATTTAAAAGGCTGCCGGACCACTAAACGTTTGACTATCTGACAAGACATTGAGAAGGCTATTTTCGCACAGTCTAACCCACTTCACCCCCTCAGACACTAGGCCCTTGGCTTCTTTTGGCCCACAGAAGAGCTAGAAGAGGAAATGAGATCACCTCTGTATTTTATCTTCTCATTTTTTTTTTTAGATGTCTCAAATAACACATAGGACAAGTGACGTGAGCCCTGGTTTTATATTCCAGGAGAGCTGCCAGAAGAAGGTAAATATACTGTAAGTTTACTGACACCATTAGAGGTGATTTATTTCAGGCTTACATGTAAATAAGAAACATGAAATCTTTTTAAATTAACTTTGAGGTTTTGTTATACTGAAATTTCATTCAATGGGATACTGCTTGAAAATGTAGGCCATTATACATGACTTCAAAACCTTTTTCAAATACAGATCTTTATTTGGTGATGAATTTATGTGATCTGGACTTCCTTACCTCTGCTAACTGACAGGGAAAAGTTTAATGAGTCACAGTCAATGACTTCCTTCTTTTCATTAATGAATATTTGACAAAAAACAGCTATATCTAGTCTTAGATAAACTGGAATTACTCCTTAATTTTATAGCTAATCTTTTACAAGAATATTTCTCCAATTGTCTAAGCTGTAGGAACTACTCCTAAGTAAATTTCTTTCTATTTTTCTTATAATCTTATCTTTACATACTTGAAAATAAAAAAAAACTTTAAGGAATGACAGCTATGTTTTAAGATTCCCAGAAGTGTTTCTGATAAAGACTGAAAAGTAAGAAAACAGGTAAAGAAGAAAGGAAATGGTAGGGGAGGGGATGTGGAAGACTGAAGCAGTAAATGACATAAACAGGAAAAGAACCAAATTGTCAGCAGAATGCTATGTCATAGCAGGGTCAAATAAGAGATGCTCATTAAATCCTTACATCCTTCTGCCACCCAAAGAGTCATTATCTCCTCCCTTGGGAAAGGGCTTTGAATGACACTCATCTAAGAGTTATCTTAGCAAATCCAAAATATAGAAAAATGCATTTTTTCCTGGATAAAAGTTCTGCCTACATAGGCAAAAGAGAGAGTAGAAACAAGCACCCAGATCATGGGGCAGGAGGAGAAATATTGCTCTTGAGAAGGAAGGAAAGGGTGCATTGGCTCTGACTTATTCAGGTTGACTGCCCAAATCAATTCCACTCACAATTAATTGCTCAACTGTTCATTTCATTTTGCCTGGGTAGACACAATAACTTACGTGGGTCACTGGATCACTTCTTCCTGTATCTTTTAAGAGAGTCTTTTCAATTGGAAAATGTCAAAAACTATTTTGCTTATATATAGCAAAAACTGTAGCAATGCAAATAAGTTCACAACTGAAGAAAGCATCTTGTTTTTGTTGTTGTAGTCTTGCTATATCTACTTTGCTCTTTTTTATATATAAAAGTTATCTTTGGGTAGAGGTAGGTAGGGCTATTGAAAATGACCCATATAACATGCTATGTTGTCCAGGAATTATAGCTCAATTTGACATCTTTTAGTTAATTCATTCATATCAATGTGTCCTGTGAATTCATTGCCCCAAGGATAATTACAGTGCAACTCTGCAAATCAGAGGCTGAGATAAAAGAGAGGCTCTTTCTGTAGACCATATTATGTGCCAAATTGCAGAGATGCACACAATTCCTACCAACAGAGACTCCTAATCACTTGTTGAAATGGAAACTCTTACTTACGGGATGTTCCTGTGGATCCTGTGCAGCCCCGGTGCCTGTGGGTACCCAAGGATCCCTCATGTGGAAAACCAGGCTACACTTACAGGTTGGGAAATGCATCTGTAAAAAAATAATGCTGTCAGTTCATTGGAAGCAGGTAAAACTGGGGAGTAATGCTGACACTTGCTATATACAATGGGATTTAGTTCGAACTTATAAGTTTGACCTAATCTGGGATAATTATAAGTCAAAATAGTAAATAAGTCAAACTATATTCAGGACTGATATTGATGAGGATCACAAGGTAAATCTTATCTAATGTGATGCCATAATTATTTCTCCATTTTGAAGAAATTACAATTACAAAATATATATAATTAACATTATGTTTCTGAGTTATTGTCATAGATGGTCCTCTTTGAAGACAAACCATCCACTGAGTCATGAAATAAGTTTTCTTAAACTGAAGCCAAAGACATAACTAAACTCCAGGCAGAAAACTAGGAATTAAGAGAAATAATATTCATTTTTAAGGCTAGTAGAGAACAAATGGGGTAGAATGCTGCTGTGTTTGAGAAGACACGTTCTATTTTCTAGAAAGAGACAAAAGCCTCTGATATAGTTTTCTACTATAAATTGTGTAAACAACTGCAAGAAATACAAAGGAAATGTATTTCCCAGGTGTTTGTGGGTCTTTGAAGAAATCTTAATTTGAGTGAACACACTCTAAGATTTGACATACTGGTAACATGTTGTGAAAGTATGTGTTTTTCATGAACATTAGAGATGAAAGGCCTTAGCCATTCCTAAGCACTATGTATCCATTGACATTTTGGTGGGTAATGAAAAACATGGGTTGTTCTAGAATATCTGTAGCATAGCTTGAGTATTTTTTAACTGTGATCATGAGAAATCCTGTAGAAGAAGAAATGTGTGGGTGAAACTTACAGTTGCTGTTTCAACTGTAAGAGGGTAATGAGCAGCGCACCTGTTTTAGTTGCTTTTCTAGTTTTTCTTTCTCCATCTGACAAGATTTTATCTACAGAAAAAACACAGACATTGTTTATCAGGAAGAGTTCAAATCATTAGTTCCAAAGCTGGTCTTGACCCAGTCGTCAGTGACCTACTCAGAAGCCCAAGAGTGAGGCTACTAGCAGTAACACCAACAAAATGAGCCACATTTTGGGTTTTCCAGACATGCACTGATTCTTTCCTGAAATTCTCAAAAGAAAATTAGAAAACTGGATAGTTTTAAGTTGTGACTGCAATTTGTTGAAACCATTATAATTGTGTTAGGTTAATCTATTTAGATATAGATGTAGAAACACCTTCCATGGCTTATTCAATGAAGTTGCATCTGGTCATACTGACATTCAAAGGCTTCCACTGTAAGTTTTAGATCTCTGTGCATTCTGTAAAATAAGTCCTTGAATCCCCCCAAGTACCTCTATGTTATAGTTAATATTACCTCCACTTGATAGAGGAGGACATTGAGACATAAGATACTGAGTAAGTTGTTCAAAGTCACACTGCTTTTTTCTATGACTTCTCACTATTTAAGGTTGAAACCTCCTCTATCAGAGTCACCTAGCCTACAGTACCTCCACAACTGAAATATCTAGAGGAAACTGGATTTTGGCTTTTTTAGTCATGTCGTCATCATCCCTACAACCTAGGTTCTACATCCATATCTATAAGGCACGGTCACATGTCCCCTCTTGTGTGATGTGTTTCCAAGTCCCATCTATGAGGATTATTCCCACCTGCTTTGGTCCTCTCATTTAGTCTTGTACATTTATCATGTGACTTCTTAGTCCAATGTGAACTATGTTCAGTCAGTTCTTGCTATTTGAAGTAATTATGCTCTATAAAGTCACCAAAATCACTGAATTAATGAATAGTGAAGCACTGCTCCCAGAAGAAACTCAAGGCTAGTTTCCTGTGAGCCTCTGGTCACAATGCTTTTGTCAAATGATTGATATATAACTTTGTTTTATGTATATTTTGTTTAAAAACACCTTAATAAGCATATAATGTTAGCTTGTTAACTCTGAACTATAGTCAACAGCACTACAGTTATGCCTGGACAAAGCATATCTAACACATGTTTTCTCTGTAAAGCACATCACAGCCTTCTTGCACTTTGGAACCCTAGACAACACTTTAGAACACGTTTGGGAGCCATTTAGATAGCAAAATCATCAACAAAGAGCAGGGGCTGGGCTGTGGCTCAGTGGTAGAGTGTTTACCCAGCTTGTTCCAAGACCTGGGTTCAATTCCCAGCATTACAAAAACAAAAAGCAAGACAAAACAAAAAGCTAAGATTACAACAACAAAAAACACATGGCCTGACATAGACCATGAAAAGGACACATTACCACATGCAAGATGAAATAAGAAAGGCAGACCATTGTCTTGTTTGACCTCAGTACTGAGTATGCATGTCAGGTGACTCAAGTGTTTAGCTGTTCTGTAAATTCATAAATGTACCATGTAAACGCCACATGTATTGATTTTCGAGTGACGTGTATTTTAGCAAATAGACAAATTAATAAACATAGAATTTGCAAATGATGAGGATACACTGGATGTGTCTTTCACTATGTTGTAAGTCTTCTAACTGTAAGGACCAGTATATTATTCTATAACAGCACACTGCAGAATGCCTTGCAGAAAGAAAGCATCAAAATTGGATGACCAGCAACTGAAAGTGGCATGATAATTATACAACTAAATGAAACTAGTGAAGATACTTCCTTCTAATTGACTAAAATAATTTATGAAATACTTTTGAGCTATGACTTGAGATAGATATTTATAAGGGCTTTCTGAAATTATTCTTTTACTTAACTCTGAGAACAACTTTGTGAAGTCATGAGGTGGTTATCCATATAAATTGCTCATAGATGAGGATACTGAGAGCAGGTAGGTAGTTTATTTTTAGACACAGAGGTTTTGGAACCACAAGAAACACTTTACAGATTATCTAGTTCAAACTTTTGATTTTATAGATAAAGAAAGCAAAGCATAGGGGTCAAATAACTTACTCAAGGTTAACATCACTGAGAGTCAGAGGGGGCAGGGACACAGGTCTTTCCCTGAACATCCCTCCTACTTCCAAGGGCCCTAAGTATGTTTCACTTCACCACACTGTCTGTTTAATCATTGTTATTGGTGTAGACATCCTCAGTGATAGTCTAAATATGTTCTGTTGTGTTACTACTAGTGCCAGAATGATTTGACATGAAAAATTTATTTAAACAACAAATAATATGCTACTTAAGATAATGTCAGTTATTTTTATTGATTCCTGGTGTTTAATCTGTTAATACATTAAACATAGATCATCAAATCATTTACTATATCTCTTTGTGAATTCTATTATTATCTAACTAAAGTGAATGACACTTTTGAAAAAAATAAATGATTAAGGGGGCTGGGTCTATTGGTACACATCTGTAATTCTACCTGCCTGGGGCAGAGATCAGGAGTATCATAATTTAAGACCAGCCCAGGCAAAAAGTTAGTAAGACCCCATCTCAAAAATCAATCCAGGGGCAGTGATACATGTCTGTCATCCCAACTATGTGGGAGCTGTAGATAGGAGGATCACTGTCCAAAGCTGGCCAACATGAGACTCAAATGAGAAATAACTAAAACAAAGATGGGCAAGGGCCATGTCTCAAGTGGTAGAGTGCCTGGCTAGCAAACATGAGGCCTTGAGTTCAAACCCTAGTGCAGCAAAAAAAGAAAGAAAAAAAGGTTAGGCTATCATTCTTTTAAAGAAAAATTTTGATAGATTTAAGATATCACTTAGATCTCAAGACTGCTCCTTAGTTTATAAACATAATTATATCATACTGTTTTTAGAAAATATATTTTTATCTCAAAATATTTTTGATATTTATTTTTTACAGATGATACAAGCATGAAAATTACTTGAGTTATCTTCTAAAATGTTAAGTAGATGGATATGTGCTCCTGCCTAGCCTAAGAATGCTGAAATGGCAAGTACATTACTGATCGTACACACCAATTTATCATCACTTTGAACTTAATAGACTAGAATGAATAAAATTAAAGTATGGCAGGAGGTAAAATAATTTGTGCACTAACAACTTAAAACCAATTAAGGCAGCTTTGCATGTAAGAAATAACATTTGAGAGAATAATTTCTTCACCAAGAACATCAGAACTTTGTTCAGCCATTATTGTATAAACTATTTATTATGTTGCATGAATTATTTTCAGAAAGCTATATAATTATATTTTCATTCCATCTAGTTTCCTTTGAAATTCCTTAATTTTATTCTTTTCTAATTTCTTAGAGAGGAAATGGTTCTGCCAAATAAATCTCTGTATAAAATGAGGAATTTCAAGTTAACCCTTGAAACAATAATCAGGGAAGAAATTAAATTTAATTCACAATCTACTTTGCATTAGGAACAAGAAAATGTCTAATAATCTTGAAGAGTAAAACCTTGAAGCTAAGGAACTACCACAGCGTGTCTCACGCCAATTTCCTTTTTCTTTGAAAGGCATGGCATGATTTTGCAAATCAAAAGTCAAAATTATGTTAACTACATTTTCCTTCATTAACATCAGCATTTACCCATCACGGCAACTTCCTGAATGTACTTTTTTATATATTTGACTACACTTAATTTTAGTTTGTTTACATTTAATATGCTCTATTCCATTAAAATGACTTCCTTAAAAGTGCACTAGTTTTATTAAATCTGGGAATCTACTGAAAAAACACTAGGTTTCACTAGATTTCTACAGGGCATTTAGAAATATGTATGTTTTTGGAAGACAAGAACGTTCTAACCCAGCCCTTCACAGAAAATGACAAGGATTTAGAAACTACTTCACTGTATTTGAGTGTCAAGTAGTTCAACTCCCATTCTATCAAAATAAATATGAGAAAAAGATCATAAGAACTACATGTTAACTTTTTAACCTAATTTCTCAGGGGAATTCCTTAAAATACTTAAGTTAAAAGAAATTTCCATTTGTTTTAATCTCCTTACAAGATTGAAAATGATTTCATCTCAGGTGTTCACCTCTCAAAAAAAAATCCAACGTCAATTAACACGATTCAAAAAGGCTTGAATTTTTTAAAAAATGAGAAAATAAAAACAAAATTGTATGTACTCAGTAAAGAAGATTTTGTTTTGATTTACCTGAGAACTCAGCCTGTTCAACTGGGATTGAGAAGTCTGATTAATTTGCTGTAGTTCTTCTTTCTCTTGATTAAGTCTTTCTCTATCTGATCGCTCCTTTCTGAAGTCTTCTTCATATATTTGCACCTAAAAATATCAATCTGCTGTTACTGTTAGATTACTTTTTTGGGGGGCCATTTAAATAATTTCAAAAAAGATATATCTGGGTTTTTCCAATTGGGGGCATTACTATCTTGGTTCATGAATATTTCTTCATGATGGGATGGAGAAATACATGTGACTACAATTGCATCTTTAACTTTTAGAGTGGCAGATCTCAAATTTTCCTTCTTGAGCATGCAGCAGGAATTCAGAAGTAAAGAAACATGTATTTTTAAAAAACAAAAACAAAAACAAAACTTCTCCTCACCCATTATTCTGTTGCATCCAACATGTTTGATGAATACCCTGCCTAATGCTAAATATCACTGTTTTGGAGCAAGTCATCCATTCCAAATGCAGGGCAATGAAATGAAATTTCCAAATATAGATTACGCGTTAGACACAAAATAGAAATAAAAGGCTACCATGGCATCTGGGCATGATATATTTGGGAAAGCAGGGCATGATTTTGAAAGGTATTTACACATTTTGTCTCTTATAAGTGATTTGGGAGGTAGACGATAAAAAAGAAATATCATAATCCTTTAGTGGAACACTTCATGAAAGGCCTTGTAAGTATTCTAAAAAAGTAACCAAACTAAAGAAAAGTTATTATTGCCTATAATTAGCATACAGCTGACTGATAGCTTGAAGACAAGTCTGTGAAGCTGGAAAAACAAATGAAACTTAGAAAATGAAGCAAAAGACTTCCTCTAAGACCATGATTTGAATAACTACTTATATTGAAGCTCTGTAGCTAGATTTTTGTCTAACACTACATCAAATTGCACCCTCAATAGGATCAGTTCAACAAATTTTATGTAGTTGTGTATCCAATTTAAGTCAATAAAATAGGCAAGAGAAGAAATTAAACTTGCATATAAATCTTGATGGATATATACATATGTATATATATAATATTTAAGGCTTTATTTTAAATTTTAATTATTTTTATTTTTTACAGATTTATTTACTAGAAATATTGCAAGGAAACTACATGCATCCAAGGTGACATTGATTTTTTTTTTTTAAGTTGGGATCTGAGGATTAATTCCAGACAGTTAAACTGTAAATAGTTACCAGAATCATGTTCAATGGGAGAAGCCCATCTGATCAGAATTTAACTTTACCAATGTTATTGCTTTAGTCAGGTAGGGACTCAGATTATAACTCTTTTTTTGTGTGAATTTAAAGCCTTGACTGTTTCTCGTGGCACTTGGTGATATAACCCTTATGGGTTAGAGCAGTGCATGGTTAAAAAGTGGATACAGAAAGTTAGTAACAGAGTCACCCCAATGCTATGTAGATGGATCCTGGTCTACTCTCTGGTAGCTCATGTCTGTATAAAACATGAGCTAAACCATAACTGCAGCCTCCATGGGAAAGAGTGACTCATATGTGGTATATATTATGAGTGAGCACCAAAGATATTTGAGTGTCTGAACATTAGCAGTGCTCCCCCCAAAGGAAATGTGGGTAGCACCAACAGTATGTTAGGTGTTGAGAACAATTTGAATGCTACCCTCATTCTCCTCTTTAGTTTATTTTTAAGCCATGTAAGTGATCCTGAATATTATGAAACAGATTATTCAAATATGATTGCTAAAAGAGAAACTCCAACTTTACTATCAAGTGCTCTGAATTTGTTAGATTTTACTCTTCCTATGAAGTAATAACAATAAAATCAATAGCAAACATAATAACACAACTGCTTGATCTTTCCATGTAATACATCTCAGATCCTTATAGTTGTTCCTTACTCAGAGAAAAAGAAGTCAACAAATCACACCCAGGGGCATCAGGAAAAAGAGTGCTAGCTTCCAGCCCTTTGTTCTATGACACTTTCTCCCCCACTGCTAATATATACTGACAATGTATATTCAGGGAATGGGATTCCTAGATGTAGGATGCATTTACTGATATCACCATGGATTATTCTAGCCTTTTACATTTGTTCACTTAACCTTTCCCAGGAAAAGAAATATGGTAGGTATGGTTGGCCCCTCAGCTAGGCAAAACTTAGCTGGCTGAACTAAATTTAATAGTCAAGCAGACTTGACTCTTCTGTGAGTATAACCAGTGCAAAATATTCTCTTTTAAACTACCCTGATTGTTCAAAAGGCTGGAGCAAGCAGCTACAGAATGATGTTCCCGCTGCTAACATTTCCTGAAAAGTTTCAGTTTGGGTTAATAGTGTTTTCAAAATAAATCCTGTCTACATGAAACCCTCTAGATGTAGTGCTAACAGAACCTTACCCAGTGGTTAAGCAGTATGACCCTCTTTCAGCTGTGTGATCTTGAGCCAGCCATTTAACCCATCTGAAACTCAATTCCTTCTTTTATCAACTGTGGGAGTGAACTAGCTGATCTCTACTCTTCTTATCAAGCTTTAAAATTGGATAATTCTAACTAAAATAAATGTGAAAACCTTTGTCATATTTTCAACAGCAAGGCATGCAAACTTGTCCAAAGAAGTATGAACAACAGGCTCCCGGTTTTCCTCAAGATCATAAACTTCTCACCTGATGTTTGAGAACTTCCATTTCTGTTCTCATCTCTGCATGGTTGCACTCCACTTTACCCTGCCCTGAACAGTCCTCAGAAAATGAAGAACTCTCAATTTTCAAGACATCTTGAAGAACCTATGTTATAAGATAAGCACACTATTGATCTGAGATTTTCCACATCATATGAATTCCTCCATAATTGACACAATCATCTTAAATATACCCACAAGGAAGTGGTTCATTTTTAAGGCTGTTACATGATTGAACATCTTTCTTTCTGGATTTCTGCATATATGTATATTTTCAGAATCTGTCTTTTCTCCGTTAGGATGCTTATGTCATTCAACCCTCATTATTTTGGGGGAATCTTTGATGTTAGACTCCCCTCCACTAACCAACTATGAAAGGAAATTATCTATAGCCTTTCTGCAGATGCTCTGATTCAATCAAAGGTATATTGCATCAATGATGCTCAAACTTTGAGGAACATCAGAAGAAGCAAACATACCAACCACTGGGTGCTGTCCGCTGTCCCCAGAGGTACACCTGAGGGAAGGGTCCAAGAATGCTGTTGTATAACGTACCATGCTTCCAGTAAGACAGAAGGAAATCCACAGAAAAGTGACTACATGCAGATTTACTCTCTTCTACAACTAATTTCCCGCTCTTCTGTTCTGCCCTCCTTTAGCATACCATATCCTGGTCTAGCCACAGTCATATTTATTCTCTGTTAAAATATCCATTAACTCATTTCTTGGTGAAGTGATGTGCACTATAACATGATTTTTTTTTACCATAGGATAAAGAGGTGAAGAATGTAATAGATACCTATATTTTCCAATAAGATTATCAACCTTATTCATTAACCATTGTTTGTACATGTCCTATACTTAGTGACATCATATAAAAGACACTGCCTCTGATTTGAAGACCTTTAATGCATGATGGAGTCAATAAAAATGACTTTACAATATTGTGACAGACACTTCTCACCCTTGTGTGGCCTCAGAACCACAATATGACAATTTGCTCATAAATCAAATGAGTCCTTTGTACAAACAGAAAAGGTTCATTTTCAGAGTTCTAGGAATTCACCTCCTCTGTGGCTGTTTCTAAAGTAACATGTTGGGCGACAGTAGTAGTAACTCACTCCCCTGCATTTCTATACAATATGGTAATAAAAGTAGAAAAGCAATCCATGGTTGTGAATAGGTGTTATAGGACTGGGAATTTCCTAATAGAATGTCTTAGAATCTACAGATACTATCTAGCCTGATATGACTATCATTTTTCAGGAAGTTGCAAGATAAATAAGCACTTTTTTCTTCCCCCAGGAAGAATTTAAAGAAATAGCAAAAATTGTTTAATAATTTATATTTAGCAGAATTTTTTTAGGGGATGATGGATATCAACCCCAGGGTCTCATGAATGTGAAACAGAATCTCTACCATGGAGCTTCATCAGTCCTGTTGGAATTTGTATAAAAGCTACATAGTTCTAGGAAATGTCCCATGATGAAATTTAAAAATTAAAGTTGTATGACTAATAGTTGAGAGAACCTAGGATGAGTGAGTCAAATTAATGATGGCAATCAAATATGTCAGTTCCATATCCCACACCTATGACTACACTGCTTTTGCAGGTCTTGTCATTTGAATTTCCTGGTCTAGCTTTTACGCCATTCAGGAAATTTCCAAATACTCATAAGTGAAAGGTGAGTCTAGCAGACACTTATCCCATCTTGGAGTTTTCCAGCTTTCTTGAACAGACCACTGTAACTTATTCTAGAATAGTTGTTACTTATCAGTACTAATATACTAAATAGATCTACCCATCTCACAATGGTAAGATGTTAGATAAATTAACTATGTCCATGGGTGGCACTGGCTGGCCAACTTCAAGCAATTCTTCACACCTTGGTTAAACATCTGGTTCCTCTGTAAGAACATGCTATAGACAAAACCATTGGGTACTTCCTTCGAAGCAAATAAATAATTGTGTACACATAGTTGAGCGAACTTCTGGAAACCATGTGTTAATTACTCTTGCTACTACTGTTATTTGCAATCATTATAAATATTTGCTGACTGAAGGGTGAGCAGGAAGCCAACTTGTGCATGGTGGGATAGGTACCAAATTCCATGCTGTGAGAGCTGGTGTGCACAGGCAGCCACCCAAATCGACATAATCAGTGACTTCTCATTCCCACAGGAGTGAAAAAAGAAAAGAAAGATATTCACTGTAAGAGCCAAGGACAGTAATATTTTATACTTTATTAGGTAGTAATATATGTTATACATGAGAAAGAAAAAAATCTTTCACCACTTACCACTTTGTATCTATGTTTTTAAAGTAGAGATGTGTGGGATGAAATTTTTTTTAGCTCTCAATACTTTTTCATGCTATTCATAAATAACAGATTATGAATTAAGTTAATGTACTATGTCTATTAAATGATAAATCTCAAGTCCAAAACTGGCTATTGAACATATTACATAATTATATTTAATTAATTTCTCATTCTTCCTTTTACTTGCTCAACAAATATTTGAGAACTTACATGAGTAATGCACTGTTCTAGGTATTCAGGAAAGCAGAAAATCTTGGAGACACCTTATGATTGTTGCCTTTGTGAGTCCCTTCATCCATAAAAGCACATGTTAAAATTACATTTTACAACTATGTTGTTATGGTGATAAATATGTAATATATGAAAATGTGTTTCCAGTATAAAAGTTAACTTTTTCTTCTGATTTGAAAAGATTATAAGACCTATTCATGGAACCCTAAATGTACTGTGAGCCCTAGACTAGACACTGTGCTGCTCTGCTAATGGAGATTTCTATCACACACAAGTCCTCCCCACGGGGAACTTCAATAAACTAGGAGGAAGAAAATGAATAGGACAATGAGTATGAGACATTATCATATTTTAGGTAGTAATAAGTTCCAGGGAAAAATCAAAGCAAGTTATATCAGGGGTAGAACATGTAATTTTAATTCAGATAACCAGAAAATTTCTCTTTGAGAAGGTGACATTTGTATGAAGACATATGTTTTGCTCAGATTAATTTTTCTGATTGAGATTTTGTGATTATAACTCCCTAAATTATAAAATTACTAGTTTTCTAAATTTAAAGAAGTCTGTTAACTATAAATACAGATAGCATAAAAATAAGGTACATAAATGAGCACACAACAAAGTTCTTGAATGTGCTAATGTCTAGAGACTTTATATCTTTGTCCCTACATTTAGGGAAATGTGCTAGAAAGTTTTAAAAAATGTGTAACATGGTAACAGAAATGGAGGAATTTCAAGTATAATCTCAGTTATCCTTAGTTCTTCTAGCTCATTTACAGAGGAGTTTCCAGCAGAGAATAAAAGGGAAAAGAAACACATCTGTACTGAAAATTTATGTCTGAACATTTTCTTGCCTTCTTAGAAGATAAAATGCATTATTGATGAAGTCAGTCTCTGCTTTCTCATTTTCTCCTGAAGAATGGCTTATGTCACAAACAACCTAATGTAGTTTCCTATTTGTAAGCATCCTGTCAAGCACATACTTGACCAGGGGAATCTTCTAAATAAAGCCTCTAAGCACTAGTTGACATGAAGTCCAAAATCAAGGGATTGAGCAAATTTTAATCACCCGTTTTTGGTTTAGGAGACATTTCTGTTACTTTGGTCATGAACTAGTTAGCTGAATGATGGGTATCTCAATCAACCATGTGCTACCGTACTCCCAGGCTCCCCCTGTGACGTGGCTCTTGGAAAAATAAAAAGGGATTTATATTTTTTCCTTGAAGTAGTCAGTGTCCTTTTTCTCAGAAAATTAAGAGTTAGTCCATAAAACAACACACACACACACACACACACACACACACACACACACACCCCATCACCAGCATCTCATCCTTCTGCAGCAGTTCATAGCCACTCTGTTGAAGAACCAGTAAAGTTGGAGCTAAGGCTTTAACCACTTGAATTTTCCTAAAGCCCTTACTTATTTTTTCTGCATCCCCAACTCCCATAAAAGAGATTTCAGAGTGCTCTCATGAGGGCCGCCATCTCAGCCTTGAGTTTGGTAGTGAGCACATCTCCATGTGTCATGCATCACACCAGTTCCATAGCTATCGTTTTAGAGAGCAGTTTTTTTCCCTCAGGAAGCTTTTGCGGTTGATCAACAGATAAGTTATTGTTCACAAACACCCACTTGCTTTATGTAGTTCTTCAAACTAAAAACAAAAAAAAAAATTCTTCCTGTCTTCTATCATTTCTCCTTATTCCTCTTTTCCATGCTGACCCTGTGCAGGATCATGAATTCCCTAAAGCCTCCTTAGCCAATATGCAGAGATTTGCAAGTCTCAGAGAACATCCTGCCAAGCTGCAGGCTGGGAGGCTGGGAGCCACATTACAGCCTGGATTCTTGGGTGACTCTAAATGGGAATGGCTGGTCTAAGGAAGCTTTCCTTTTGCTGTCCCATGCTCATCTGTTCTGGTACCTTATTCAGGCGTTTTATTTCACACTCGTAATGTTCCTTCTTCTTAGTTGCGAGGATATTTTTTTCCTTCAAAAGCTTATTCTCTTTCTTCAATTCTTCTAATTCTTCATTTAGGCATTCCTTTTCCTTCTGAAGTAAACAGCAAGAAAACAAAATCAAAATCAACAAAAGTCAAAGGAGGGGCAAGTGCAAGGTCCTGAGTTCAAACCCCAGTATATATGTGTGTGTGTGTGTGTGTGTGTGTGTGTGTGTGTGTGTGTATACACACATAATTCATAATTCAATGCCTTACAATACCAGTAAGGCTTCCTCTATTTTTTTGTTACAAAAAAAGGGAGATGTTATTGAGCTTAATGTTTTCCATAAGATCCATGAAGTTCAATAAGTGAAAATAAAACCAGGAAAAAAGACTATGTCGGGAGAATCTGTTACCTCAACTGTGACCATATAGTTCTCAGGAGGGAATGAAAGAGGCTTAGAATCTGGAGACTGGGTTCAAGTCCTGTTTTTACAGGTACTAGTTCAGTGTTGGCAAGCCATCTAACCTCTTCATATCTCAGCTTTCTAGTCTTTAATGTGGAAAAAGTAATATTTTCTGCACAGATGGTTGAGCATATTAAATAAGATGAAAGTGCTTTTTAAAGTGTTATATTTTATAATTGCAAAAGTAATACAGGGCTGGGCATGGAGTTCAGTGGCAGAGTGCAAGGCCCTGTGTTCCATTCCCACCACCTCAAAAATAAATTTAATTTTTAAAAAGTAATGCATATTTGTAGGGCTCTATAGGCTGAAAAGCTACTGTGTAAATACAGGTATTGTATTAGTATGCATCTTATCAGTAGCAATACTAACAATACTTACGAATAAAAGCAAAGGGAAAATTGTTTTCTTCTCTAGAAAGACAACATCAAACCTATGCTTCACTTCTTTTTCCTGGCGAGGCCTGGCAAATTGCAGCCCAATTGCAGCCCGCTGTTTGCTCAGCCAGAAGAAGCGCGGGGTCGGGGGGCGTCCCCTCCCTGCTAATTCCAGGGAAACCGTCTGGCCTCGGGCCCTCGGAGCCTTGCGTAACCCACACTCCCTAGCACAAGCGGTGCTGAGCAGTTTGTTGGTTTTCACCAACTGTAGGTTTTCAACAGGAAGTCAGCACTGCTTGTTCTCAGCTCCTGCGGGCGCCCCTCCTCCCTCACCTCTTCTCTGGGCGGCGGGCCCCGAGTCAGGTCGTGCTGGCCCGCTCTCTCTCTCCGACTCTGCGGCTCCGTCTCCAGTGTACCCAGGACTCTCTCTGCCACGGCCAATTTTGTTTTCAGCTCTGCAACCTGAGGAAGTCGATCACGGACTGTTGCAGACGACGATTGTGAAGCCCACATCTGGGATTTACTCGGGGACTGTGCACTTGGGGCAGAAACGCCCCTCATCAAGAGGTCCCATAAGGAAAAGCTCTACTTCCCACCGCCAAAAGCACACACCTTACACCCAAACAGCGCCCAGCTCTTCCCTCCCCCTCCACACCAGGCCCACTGCGGAGGGAATGAAACAAGGGGTCCCTAGGAGGACCTGGTTATTCTCAGCTCCAAGATGGGACGTGAGGGGGTGAGGGCCTTAGGCAGGCCATGTCTAGAACTGGAAAAGACAGATGTTCCTCCATTTTCCCCTAATCTCAGCATGAATGTCCTCCTAGTGCCAAATTAGACTTCAGAGTGACAAGGGCCGTTGAGGAACCTAAGAGACGGGTCATTTCCTTCCAATCAGAAAGTATACCCATTGCTATCCATCTATCCCACTGCCTTTCAGGAAAGCAGTGTAGTTCTCTCTGGTATCATTGTCTTTACATTTTGGAGACCCCAACTACCCCCGAGTGGACAGTGTGATGTGGTCTGACTACTGCACTGGAAGCATTATCTTGCATCTTCTAGATTTAATACTTCTGAGTGTCAAAATGGGGAAGAAAAGACCCATGCTGTTACATTACTCACTTGTGGTCAAATTTCTTAATTCTGAATATTTAGGGGAATTTACTTTCTCTTTTCTCTCTTTTGGAAAATACATTTAAGTTACAAATTGACTTTTACCTATTAAAGGAGATTTTTTTTTTCCCAAAAAAGTGCCTTTCTTACCAAAGTAGAAGCTTCTTGACAACACATGTGCTTTAGACACAGGATAGGAGTGCCCCATGTTTCTCCTCCACTTTTCATCTTACTTTCTCTTTCTCTCTCTGAGAGGGTCTCCCTATGTAGCTCAGCCTGGCCTCTAATTTTGGATTTTCCTGCTGAGTTACAGGTGTGTGCCATACACCTGATACCTGCTTATTTATCTGTGGAAAATAAGTGATGATATCCAATTAAAAAATTGGATACCCTAGCATAAAAAAGCATGGACTTTAACCTGATCTTGATGGTAACTTCAGCTATAACCTTGTGAATTTATGGTTCCTTGTAACAAAGGGCCAGGGCACAGTGAGACAGAAAAAATGTGCATAAGAACTCTTGAGATATTGTTGGAGGTTCATTTTATTTTTAACTCTTTCCTTTAGTCATACTCAAGACAATTCCCTGACACTGTTCATGAATCTTCAGTAGACCAGTAATGGACTAGGCCCCCACCCCTCATTTTTCTATAGTTAGCTAGCCACTGAATCTCCTCATAGCTGAAGTCAAATAGAGTCCTTACACCCCTGGCCCCAACAGAATTAAAGAAAATCTCTAATAGAGGAGCTTACCTTTCTTTCATAGAGCTCTTTCATACTTCTAAATTGCTGGTCCCATTGTCGATTAACTTCCAGGAGCTGAAATTATTAAAATTTGGTGAATCAACAAAGGATTTCTTTCTATTTAATTTGAGCAACATGAAATCACTTTTTGAGAACACTAGGATTTTTAGAAGCTATGCGTAAGGTCAGTATTTTTTCTAGGAAGTTCTGGTTGGGATGATTTAATTGGACCAACTCTCATCTTTTCACAAATGATTCACATATAAAAACAATTAAGTCTTAGGTATATCAAGGCAAGTCAGTTGAATAGTTTATCAGCAACTTATAACTATTTTCTTAGTTATTTGAATTTTTTTGTTGTTTAATTCCACCAGAATCTGGTAAAAATTTGTAAGCACTGGTGTTTTTGGTAAGAATTATTAATGTATGAAGGGTCTTTTTCCAAATTCTTTTCATATTTTTCTTTGTGCTTACTCTGGTTATTATAATGAATAATTGTTCCAGGCTTTTCAAAAGTTTATATTAAAGTATAGGCTATTAACTATAATCATTTGCTTGCAATAATGTCCTGTAAAAGATTAACACATCATTTGTAAAACATATTCAATGAATGGGTAATATCACCTTTTGAATGCATAGATTTTCAAGGAATAATATTTTCATCACAAGATAATATTTAGGAACATTTTAGGCTGCAATCAGTTTAAAGATGTTTAAACTATGCTAATTAGAAGAAAGAAACAATACTATGATCTGTTTTAGTTTTCTTACAGGGGAAGTTAATAGTTTACTACATTAGGAGAAATTCTAATACTTACCAATATGAGACAGATACCAAGAATGTGACAGTCACAATGACCAAAAATAGCAAAACTTTCTCCTAATTACATAAGAAAATATCTAATCCAGAGTGGCAGTTACTATGTAACTCTTATGGTGGAAACAGATATGGTCTTTTGATATAATGACATAATATTATTGTATAAAGATATCTGATCTGCTGTCATTTTAGGGATTAACATTCCTATGCTATAGCAATACTACTTTGCTATAGTGATTTTGCTGAACTATAAGAGGAATGGAAGGCACTACAGAGAGAATGGGTTATAAAAAGAATTACAAAATCGATGAGACTGGGAGTGAGAAAACTGTTGTACTTTTCATATCCTGCTGTCAAGAAGAGTAAAGAGTTTCTAACATTCATTAAACTCAGAAAATAAAGATAGTAAAATTAGCAGTTAATAATTCACAATAACATTGTAGAAACAGACTTTTTTTTTTATGGCAATGTTCCTTAACCCATATGTATTTGGAAGTCCAATTCAGGAAGTGATAGCACCCAAATCAATTGTTCTTAAAGCCTTTCACAATTTGAGTTTCAAGGTAGTCAGTTTGCAAGGCTTAAAAGGCATGAGTGATAAATTCATGTGGTCCATGGTGGAGGAAATGTTGAAGTTCTGGGAAAATTAGGATTATAGTTATCAGGTTTATGACTTTGTCATTTTTCTTATTCAAACACTGATAAACAGCATTTTTCTCTCAAAATAGTGCAGTGTCATATCCTAGCGATAAATGCTGTGACTTAATGACAAATGAGATGCACAAAGGGATATACATGCTATTTTATTCTCAACATTAACTCACAACATATGTAGTTTTAATTAATATTTCTAAATTACCTCTTTTCTTTGTTTTTCCAAGCACCTTATCTTTTGTTCCAGAGAATTTGTCATCTTTCTTGATGATTGAGTACACTTTGATTTAAAGAAAAGATTGAGATTAGAGTTGCACAATAAATAGGAGAAATACTGTTCTTCACAAGCCCTATGCACTTAGCTAACTAGTATATTGTGATTCCTGAAGAGATCTGATTTGGTGGTTGGGGATGTAAGTCAGTGGTAGAGTGTGCTACTTTGCATGCACAAGGTCCTGGGTTTGATCTCTAGCACTGCAAGAAAAGCCAAGCCAAACAGACAAACAAAACAACTGATTCTACAGTAACAATTATCATACCATAAGTCCTTCACAGCGATGTGCTGATGTAATAGCTTCATATTCTGTTTAAAATTCCTTTATATGACTTAGTTACCTAAATAACTCTCAATTTAGAAATATATCTACATAATGAGCAAAACCAAAAATTAGAATTCATCAGTTTGGATTTTAATCCTTGCTCCAAAAAACTAAAAAAAAAATTATAATAGCTTATAGAAATCAGAAATCAGGTCCGTTTGTAGATACATTTTAGGTATTCAGATAACAAACATTTCTAAACATGGTCATGTCTACTATAAGTGCCCATGAACACGCTGCCAGCAAGACTCTGAAGAGTGGCCTTGGCAAAAGTCAGAGGAGCGACAGAACCAATACATACAACTAAAATGCAGAGAATTTATCCTTAAATTACGATAAATTACGCCCAGAGTCACGGAACAAGTATAAGTTGAGACTAATAATTATAGGCATAATGAGAAGTTTATCATCTTTCTTTCAGTTAGTTGTTCTTTCCCCCCCAGGGATGGGAATGTTCATTTAAAGAAAATACTAAAGCTCTGGAAACTGCCTGCCATGTAGAAAAATCGATCAGCAGCAAAACTCACTTACATAAAAGACTGTTTTCAGCTGGGACACCAGGGACTCATGCCTGTAATCGTAGCTACTCAGGAAGCAGAGATCAGGAGAATTGCAGTTCAGGGCAAATAGTTCTCGAGACCCTATCTCCAAAAAACCCTTCACAAAACAAAGGTGGAGTGTCTCAAGGTGTATGCTCTGAGTTCAAACCCCAGTAACTCAACAGTCTTCTTACTGTCTCATTCCTGAGTCACATAAGTAACACAATGAATTGGGTGATGAGGGAAGTCCCAAAAATTTGTGTTCAGTTCCAGGCTCAATAGTTACTATAGACCTTGAAACTGCTTACAGTTACTCATGAACGATTAAGAAATATTTTTAATACATGCTGGTCTTTGCCAGAAATGTTGAGATCAAAAAGCTCTTTTGTGATCATCATGGAATTTCAAGGATTTTTCTTATTACCAATGATTTATAAAACTGTATTCTTCTGTCTTTTCTTTATTTATTGAAGTCTCAGTATTTTAGGGTTTGATATTTTAAGCTGTATAGCTACTATACTTATTTTCTTAACTTCGTTCTATTTAGAGTGATGTTATAACTATAATGAGGTTTGTGACAATCTTCTGTAGGTCAGTAAACTCAGAATGATTTATTTGCTTTTAACCTCAAGTAGCTGGTTTAGCTGAACCCCAATCATCACATCAAAACTCAGGTGACAATAATACGGGGCTTTCTCTTTTTCAAGAAGACTTGTAAGAAACTGGACCCATTCTGGATTAGAACTGACTAAATGTAAAGCATATTTGGTCTGGAAAATTCTGTGATCCAGCTCTGCTCCACATATCCTAAGTTTAGCCAAGCAGAGGTGCAGTGACACTGGGTCCCAGACCAGTGATTCTCACCCCAACAGCACATCAATGTCACTGTTAAGCTTGTGAAACCTAGGACAACCTGAACACTAGGTCAGTCCTAAGTAACCACAATTCCTACTAACGTTAAATATCCTCCTATCCTAAGTCATGCTTGGAAATGTGAATTTGTGGTTTTCAAAAGTCCTCCTCCATATTTTTGATGTTGAAAAACACTGTGACTTGCAAGTATTGGTATGTTCTTGCCTTCTGGGAATCCAGATGTGGGCCAATTTTTTCCACCCCATAGACAGTTTTCTCTGGAAAAAAATTATAAAATACTTTGACCCTTGATTTTTATTTATAAGATTTACATACTTAATTTTCATGAGAATTGATTTATAACTGTAGCATATTAATATCTGAAATTTAGAAGTAATACAATTAGAAATGAGGGGGAGAGATAAAGATGGAGAGAAGGATAGAAAACACAATGAATAGGAATGGTATGTGAGCAATAAATGTATCATCAGGGATTTCTTTAGAGATTAATCAATATTTTACCAGGTTTACATGGCTCAGGTATATATTAAAATGAAGGAAAATCAATCAAATACAAAGACATTTGTATTTGGGGGAAGTTTTCATTTCTTTTGCTTTGCTTTTTAGTTACTAATGAAGACATCAGATGTTGCAATAAATAAAGATATTTAGTCATTGGGTTCTAGTAAGGACCTCCTTATAGAACAAATATTCCTTTTAAACATTCCTCATAATTATCCCTTATAATAATTATAAATATTTCTTATGAATTATAGATATCAGTTATCTAAATATTCCTTATAATTATTTCCTATGAAATGTCATCTGTATTCAAAGTATCTGGCATTTCTTTCTCTACCATAACATCCATAAATTCTCATATGTTCTAGTTGTGACACAAATTAAATAACTGAATGAACAAGAAAGTTCCTCTTAGTTTCTTACTGCATCTTCATTACCTCTTTAAATATCATGAAGAAAGTATTTTTAATTAATTAATCAATTCAAATAGTATTATTGCAGTAACTGAACAAAAATTATAGTACCAATTGTAAATATATAAATATTTTACTACAGGCACTCTTTTGCTATATGTTCTATTTCTAACCATACCAATATAGTACTCATTTTAGATTTTGCATCAAATCAAACTCCTCTAAATCAAGAACAAAATATGAAACATAGAATTTGGGAGCTGAAAGAAATTTCAACAGATTTACTTATATCATTTGCAAAAGAAGAAACATAATCAAATAGGGAACAGTCACACAGATACTTTTTCTATGTCAAATAATATTGGTTAAAAATGGAGAACAGATCTTGAAAGCAAACAAACCATTTCTACCCTTAATTTGTCACTGCACAACTGACCATTGAAAATGGTATCAATGCTGGATGTGGTAAATATATCCAGAGAAATGTGTTCTTACCTCTGCATGCTCCATAGAACTTTCTGTATTCATTCCAGGTTTGCCCTGTATGGAAGCTGTTTTTCCAGTAGTCTTGCAAAGAAGAAAGAAAAAGAGGGGGGAAAAATTCTCTTATTGTGCTTTTTAGGGTGATTCCAAACATTCAAAATTTGATAAATACACACCACCATTAACTAATGATGGAAAATAACAATAATTTTTCATTAAAAATGAACAGAGGTGACTCTATGTTAATTACACAGAATAAAGTTAGAAGAATGGAAACTGTGATTTTAACTTTTATTCTCTTCCAAACAGGGATTTCCCATGATGTCTCAAGTTGGCAGGCTGTGACTAAGACCTGGGGCAGATTGGCCTTGCTATGGTATGTAAATTGTCATTCTTCCTTTACTGGCAGCTTCTCCCATGGGAGGAGGAAGTTATCACCACAAAAAGCCTGGGCAAACCAAGTATTTCCTCACTAGCCTAACTGCCATAAATTCATTGTATTTCCCAGAGCAATTAGGTAACTGCTGATTTTTTGACAGCTCCTCACTTGTTTCTCTAAAGGCATGATTTTCTGGCAGTATTTCCCAAATGTGAGTTTAGCTGTGTAGAACTTCATGAATCATACATAATTCTGTAAGTGCTACTAGCTCTTAGGGAACTAAAAGAGAAAATAATTCACTACAAAGAAAAATGGTCATTGTTTACAAATCTAATCTTCTGCACTGGCAGAAAGGTGAAACTGGATTCTTAAAGACTGTCTTTTCCACCCATGAAGTCCAGATTTTTGACCAAGACATTTCAAATTAAATATTTTTCCCTCTAACATTTTAGCTTTAATTACAGAGTTTCTGTTATTCATTTTACAGGGTCTTCAGGTAATGGCTGTTAGGTAGGTAGTGCAGATAAACCTGGAAATGACAGGTACAGAGTTACACAAATGGACCACTATTTCTGGACTTGAATAAGAGGGAGCAAAAGAGGCCAGCAATACAGAGAAAGAATATGTTGCTGAAAGGAAAACAGAAAGAATTTACAGTCAATCACATCACTTGAATTTTTCATGGAGATATCCACATATATGTAGGATAAAGCCTAAAGGAAGTAAACAGCTGTTTATGGTCCGACCCTCTCTCTTCTTAATATTTCTTGCCATCTCATACTCTTCCCTGTGCTCTTGACATACTGAACTATCTCCACATTCTGAAATGAGTCATGCTATCTATAGCCTGTGCCCTTAAACATCCCTTCTTGAGCCTCCCCAGGAACCTCGTGATCTGCAAAACCTGCAAAACCTAGCTAAGTCTCTCTTGCCATTTGACCTTATCTTGTCCTCTTCCACCCAGTCACATTACAATTGCAGGTTTCTATGTTCTGTGTTCATCTCTGTAAACACAATGCCCTGGCACAGAGCAGCCTGGCACAGAGCAGGTGTTCAACACATCTTGCTGAATGAATAAACAGACGAATATCTATCTAACTATACTGTACACAAAAGCTGTGGATTTTTGGCTAAGTTCCTGCTATTTTCTTGATCTGTTTTAGAGATATACATGAGTGAAAAAGAGTGATGTTGCCTTAAGGCAATATCCAAAAATACAGGTGGGAATCAAATTGTTCATTCAGAGTTCTAAGAGTAAAAGTTATGACTTACATGTGCTCTGACTTTAGGGGATAGAGGCAGAGATTTCCTGTAGACTGACACTTTGTCAGCACTAAAATCTGCTCATCAGAAAAAGAAATCTCTGGTGTAAAAATAACTTTTTTCCAACACACACACACACACACACACACACACACAACACATACACACACGCATGCATGTACACACAATAATTATATGCAATTCAAAGTTCTGTTCAGGCTTATCTTTGTATTAGATGATAAAAAACCCATTAGAGAGGGTGGAGTGGGTGGTAAGGGAGGGGGTGGGGGCAAGGGGGAGAAATGACCCAAGCCTTGTATGCACATATGAATAATAAAACAATAAAAAAAAATTTTAAAAAACCCATTAGATGTGCAGCATTAACCCAAAAAAAGTGATTTGGAAGAACATTTTCTTGCTAGTAAATGTTAGAGATGTTGTCTCTTTGGTCTCCCGGTAAAGATATCCTGATACAAACTCATTGTTAGGTATGATGGCTTCTATTAAGTGGAAATCCTGTAAGTTTGCAATTCTCAGCCCAATTCTTTTTCTTCTTCTGCTGTTCAGATTAACAGTAAACATATTTGCAATTAGCTCAAGAGAGCCATGTATGAATAAACAATAACTTTTCTGAAGGACCCCAAGTTTGGTTTGAGAAAAATGGAACTTTCAATAGGCCACTCTTAGGAATGAACTGAATAACTTCTGATCCACATGCCCTATTTCTCTCACTCCACAACTCTCACAGAGGCTACATTTATCAGGAGTCTGGCTTTTAGGTAAGTATTTTTTTGTTTGTTTTTATCAGGAAAAGTTTCACTCGCTAAGATAACTTTCAGAGAAACAAGAGGTTTCTTTCCATGCTTCCAAGGCTATTTTGGATATTCCTCAAAGTAACTAAAGAAGATTGCTCTGAAGTAACTAAAATGTTATGTAGAGGACAGCAAACTAACAGAAACACGGAGGAAAGGAACAAGGAAGTCCAAGCCACAGTCTGAACTGTCATTTGAATTGACAGGAATTCTTTCAAAATTAATTTGAGAAGAAAGCCTTGCACGATTATCATGTAGGGAGGCTTTCTTCAGCAGGTGAAAGAATCTTGTGACTTTGGGCAAGATGCTCAACTCCCACACTTATGCAATGGTAGTGACACTGTCTTTCTCCCAGGGATGCTAGCTGTAATAACATGTATAAGAGCTTAGATAATAATAATCGTAAAAACAGGATCATTAATCAAATTATATGACAAAAGTCTATCTATAATTTACACCTCACTCACTATGCACTTGGAACTGAGTGGCTTCCCAGGGAAAATAAGGAAAGGTCCCTGCTTACAATGAAATTTATACACATATATACATACATATATGTGTGTGTGTATATATATATATATATATATGACTATACATTTGTATGTATGAACTGGACAGTAAATTAAATGCAGTAGGATTTCAGAGGAAAGCGAGCTCATTCTCAAGCTTTTGTAGCTCTGGAAGGACTGGAGTTTCCTCTGGGTCTTGAAGAGTGGATTTGATAATGGATGGTGAAAGCTGAGATATAGTGCTATAAAGGGAGCAACTTAAACAGAACAGAGAGGAACAAACCCAAGTACAATTCTAATGAAGCCATTTTAACTAGAGTAGGGATTATGTGCAGTATCTAAGTTTGACTTGAGTGAAATTGTGAAAGGCTTTAAATTTCAGATGAAGTACTTTTGACCTTAGATCACAGGCCATGGGGGACTACTTAAGACCCTGGAGTGAAGGAATTTCATGATCAAAGTGGCATTTTTGTAAAAATAAGCCTGGAGATGTACATTGTATAAATAAGAGAGACCGCTACTGCAATGCCAGTTAATAGGTATTAGCAAAAGTAACATTTTAAATATTTAATAGCTCCTGACAAATAAAACATTTAACCAGTTCACCAGGCACCTGTAACAGACCACACCCTGAGCTCCAGACTCCTATGTTCATTACCAACATGTCATTTCTATGGGACTGCTTCATAGTTATCTCCTTTTCTACCTGTCTGAAACCTATAACCTAGCCAGGCATGATGATGCATGCCTGTAATTCCAATTACTCAGGAAGCAGAGATCAGGAAGATGGTGGTTTGAGGCCAGCTTAGACAAAAAGTTAGTAAGAACTTATCTCAACAAATAAGCCAAATAAGGTGGTTCTTGCAAAAAATGCAAGACCCTATCTGAAAAACAACTAAATTCAAAAAGGGCTGAGGATGTTGGTCAAGTGGTAGAACACCTGCATAGCAAGTGGGGCCCTTAGTTCAAACCCCAGTAACACCAAAAAAACAATAACTAAATAAAGCCTATTTCCTTATTTCCCATAAAATGTGTCTTTTCCATCATAATTACTGACAACTTTTATTCCACAAACCAAAAATCTTAGAATTATCTTTGACTCCTCTTTTTATCTCAGGGTGTATCATTTTATTTTATTTTTTATTATCATATAATTGTTGTACATGGGGGTACATCGTGACATTTACATGTGTGCTTGCAATATACCTTAATTAGATTCACTCCTCTCCTCCCCTTTTTCGAACAATTTTGACAGTTTTCATTGTTCTATTATCATATACAAATACAAGATACATTCACAATAGTCACCCTTCTTCACACTTTTCTTTTGCCTTCCCCCTCCCTCTGAACTCATCCTGAACAAGACTTGTTTTACCTTCCTGTCCTTTGTTTTTTAAAGTGTATATTGATTGCTCAAGGGGATTAAAGACCTGCACATATTGTGTTTTAATCAGATTAACCCCTCTAATACTGTTTCTTTATTGCCGTGCTCCCCTCTTATTCAACAGCTTACAGTGCATTGACTTAAATTATCTTCAGATCGGTATCATTTTGTATGAATATTTTATGTTCAATTTGTATTAATAACTTTGAAAATATATCCAGAAACAATAGCTTCCCATTGCCACAAGCATCTAGAGGGTTCCCAGGTTAAAGACTGAGTCACAAAACTAAATAATCATTCTGTATTATAACTGGTTTGCATCCCAGTTTTACTCATGGGAACAGTGATCTCTGGCTCTGTGCCAGTGAGTGGTTCTATTACTTACTGGTTATATGGCTTCAGGAAAGAGGCTCAGCATCTCTGGCCTGTTCCCAAGCCATCAACCCCTCCTAGCTGGACACTGCAATAACCTAAGGACTTTCCTGCTTCCATTCTCGAGCCATCCCATGAAGTCAGTAGCCATTATGAAGCTTTTAAATGTCATTTCATTCCCTCCTCTGCTCAGACCCTGGCAGTGGCTTCCCACCCCACTGAGAGTGAAAGCAGAACTCTCTAGTGGTGGACAAGGCCCCGCACAATCTAGCCAGTGCCTCTGTAATCTCTTCCTCAGTTCCTTCCTTTTGTGCATATAACTCTATGGCCGGCCTCACTGCTGTCTCTTGAACCTGTTCTCTCTG